ATGAAAATCGTCAGGTTCGTACCCAGTAACTAACTGTAACGTCATATAGGTTGGGAGACAATAGGCCTCAAGGCGGACCAATATAACTGCGTACAAGATTGCATAGCCCTAGGCAGAAACCGAAAACTTGGTATGTTTACCAAAATCTGGGTGATCATTTAAATTGCGCTTTATGATCACTAGGTGAGGCTATTTAGGGTAAACATGGGAATTTGACGTTCAATTATAAACCCAAAATACATGCAATACTTTATAAAAAAAACCATCAATGTAAACTTTTCGGCATTATCCAGTCTCTTGGACTTTAAGGGATAAGTAGGGTGGTGAGCCCTTAATCGGCCAGGAGGTTTAGCAGGAATGTGTGTGAACAAACATGTGACCAGTTTGTCGATTCATCAACCAAAACCATAAGTATTTATATGGTCTGCATTTTGGTTGGATTAGTCCACATATATATTCCCTTGAATCCACTGTGAAAAGAGAGTTGTTTCGTAACTTTGCAAAGAATGATATAGAAAATCAATTTCCCTAATGAGCAGGCTTGGCAAAGTGTGCTTGTTAGCACAAGATCCTTACTTCGGGTAAGGAGATGTGTTGTAGCATCATTATTCGACCTAAGTGTCCTAAATGGTCGTGCCAAAGCAAGTAAACTGCTCAATCACCCAGCTCCAGGCCGGCCACATACGGCGTGTGCCTCAGTTGGGAGACATCTCATTCGCCCCAAATTAAAGCTTCAGGCTCATTTTTGGAGGTGGTGCAAAGATATTTCGCTCTATTTTCATTAGTGGTTTCATTTATGATCATTGTTCTCTCGAATATCCTTAAAAACTCAACGACAGGGAGAATTTAAAGTCCCTTAAATGGAAATTTAGTACCATTCATACAACGAGGTGCGTTCCAAATGCTCTTAATCAGGTTGGATAGACCTAAAGTCGTTGTTAGATATGTGATTTAGGTGTAAAGTTAGTGTGCGTAGTATGCATTCATACAAACAACTAACTTTCCCACATTCCTACCTAATCACGTGTTTAATTAAATCGGTCACATGTATTAAGAAACATGATTCAAACTCATATTCGAGGACAATATCAATAAGATTATCCATAAGTAAAACATACACCAAACTTGAATCCAAGAACATGGAAAAGTGTCCACAAAGTAAATGGTTTACTAAGGGGATTCGGCCAACAAGGTCATCCATGTTAAAATTCTGCTCTTCTAATGATGTTCGGTGGAGCAAAATCAATCTCACATATTGACTATGAGAATAGTACTCCTCAACAACATTGGTAGGGACATGTGCATAACCAATGATCTATTCCATCAAGACGGAAATAGATTCTGCAGGGTTGAGGTTCGGGAATATTATCCCTTATTCTTGAAGTTTTAGGTCTTAGGTGCCAAGGATCACACTTTGGGCATAATGCCACACCTTGGCAGACCCTGATTCTACCATATATTTGTGGTAGTAATCAGATCCGAGAATTTGGTAAACTTCCGCTTTCTACATTAATACTTCAAAGGCGAGTTAGAAACATGGAAGGACAAGAAAAGTATTCTCCAGTCATAACTCGATTGGATTTATAAACTTCATAATTGTACTCATTCATGGACGTAATCATGGTGTGCTTCAGGCAATGTTTTTCATGATTAGACGGTATGTAGAAGCAAGCCAAAGAGCCATGGAATCCTTGTTAGGGAGGTAATTTCGTTTGTAATGTTTCGGGCATAAGTCTAGATCATGGCGGAGGCTTATTCAGCTCTTCCATGCCATTGTTGGCGTCAATGGTTTCTCAGCTTCTTGATAGTCAAGTGAAGATTCACATCTTGTACCCCACATAAAGTGGTTTCTCTTAGAAACGTCCAAATTAGGAAAATCGAATTTGTGACGGTTTGACAATTCACTGATTTAGAGGGAACATGATTGTGATTGGTGCTATGAGAATGAATCATCCATAAGCATCAAAGTTAGAACATTCGAGTTCTAAGACATGGTTTTCATGAAAAACGTTGGGTTTTCATGGGTGTATTGTTTTATGAAAACTTCGGGTTTCAAAGACACTAAATTTCAAACTACAAGTTCAATTTAGTTTATGAACGTTTAGTTCATAAAAGAGAGGTTCCTGCAAGAACACAGAATATAATATGCTGATTTAAGTGTATTGGATTTGGGTTGCTTCATGAACTCAAGTGTAAGAGCTTCGTTACTATGAAAGTATGTCAACGGTTCAAAGTATAAAAATAAATTATTGAATCGTTAATGTCCAAAAGTGACATTCAGGTCAATAATTTTGGATTCATTATCAGATTAATGGACTGCAGGTCACTTTTAATTAATTCAATAGATCAGGACCATTCAAGGTCGATCGTAGAAGCAAAATAATGACTTCGGGTCATATTCACTTTAGATGGCTTGAGGCCTAATAATTAAGAAAATTTAACCTAGTGTGGCTTTAACCAAAAACATCCAAAAAATATTCGGGTATGGTTAAGAAGTGGGGATGTCAAAATGTGGCATCGGGTTGAGAAAAAAAATGATGCAACCTAGCACGTGTGGGCTGGCTGCAACACATAGCCTTGCAACGAAAATTGAAAGCCATTGGGCTTGGGGACACGGCTGCCAAGCAGCCCAGTCTACTGCAAGGTAAGCTACAACATTTGGGCCGAATGTATGGGGGAAAAAAAGAGTAGCACATAGGCTTTTGAAGGCGGGCCTAAAGCACGGGATGGCCGAGTTGACAAGCTCAGCAATGCTGGCTTGGTGGGCCAAGTGGGTGTGACAAGCCCAGCAACTCAGGCTTGTGAGAAAAGGGGCCTATCGATGTTATTATACGGCTTGGAGGGGTTGCAGGCCCATGCAAATATCAAACCCAAGCGCATGCCTGGTTCTCACGCACATGCAGCAAGCCCAAAGGCTGCTGCCTCACGGGTCCAATGCCCAAGCCTTAAGATGCAGGCTCGGTTAAGTTGGCGTGGCTACAGGCCGCGGCTCAGAAAATTTTTCCTAAAATTTAATTGTTTTTTTCTCTTCGAAATTCCTAGAGTTTGAAAAACCCTAATTACTTCTAATTTCTTTCAATTCTTTGACTCACAAATTCCACATAGAATAAATTGTGTAATGCATGAAACAAATATATATATATATATTGATAAATATATAAACAAATACAATATATATATATATATATCGTAAGGAAAATATAAACATAGAGGGGTTCATGCATCATGTGGAATGTTTTCATGCTTCAAGGTCGTTTCAAATATCTTCCTTTATTTTAAGCGTACCTGATTGGCAGAAAACTACAAAAGCCTTTGAATTTGTAGAAGATCGTTCTCATAAAGCCAGAATTGCATCTCCAATGCGTCGTATCACGTTCAACATAGAAAAATTAAATTGAATCAATAGCATGTAGATCAATTCAAAATAATAAATTAATCACAAAAAAGAATGATTAAAACGTAATACTTCTCTAATTGAAGAATAAACTCTATTTAGCGCAACGTCAATAGCTTGCTGATAATGTGTTGTAGGCATAATTTACTGAACGATTATGGAGGCCATAGAGAGAGAAAGGTGCGGCAATAATAGAGAGAAGAGACAGATGTGTAATTGTGGGTGTGTTCTATTCTATCATGTTGTGCCTTTATTTATAGTAAAAAGGAAGGTTAATTCCTTATCCTTTTAAGATTACAACTCTAATAAGATATTAACTACTAAAGGGAATATAAAAGATATCCCTAGATATATTAGGATATACACAATTACATTCATATTCCAATAGGACTGCAACACTCCAATCATACTCACTATCATATCATGTTATTACTATTGCACATTGGCTAGGAGCTCATAAATTTAGGGAGTAATAAAGGAGCTCACAAGGCTACTAGCATTAATTACTATTTTTAATAGATTTTTCAAATAAAAGAATTATATTTCAATCCATTCACATTTAGTATGACTCGTTAAATTCTTTAGTGATCTCTTATATTAGGTTTCCAGTATCTTTTGCTAAAATTAACTAAAATAGAAATAAAATATAAGTTACTTTAATCCATCGTGCTTACTTTGAATCGTTTCATACTTAGTAAAAAATCTCCAATGTTATCATAATCTAACCACGTAAGATGCAAGTGTAGAAGTTCAATACCTTATAAATTCGAGGGTCGAAGTTATGTGATATTTTTATTTTCAATATTTAAATTGAAGGTTTTAAAAGATGTTAGGCTAGGCGGACGGCGATTTAGGGCCTAAGGTTTAGGTAGATTTTAGTAAATATATTATATTTCATTTAAATAAGTGTCTGCTTATACTTAAAATATTTATAATTTCATCATAAACTACAAAATAGAATGACCTATTTATTATGAAGTATTTGAACACATGAAAACATGACGACAAACATATAATGTGTGTTCATTTAAGTATGCAACAAGTTTCTTACAATTTATTAAAAAAATAAAATACAAAATGAAAGTTATCAATTTTCTATCTAAGTGAGTAGCGAGTGCCTAGGTGTTCTAGGCGAGCGCCTCAACAGGTCTAAACGTTATTTCTTAATTTTCAAACGTCTAAACATTAATCAGAACGGTAGCTAGCCGTCTAATGTCTAGACGAAACCTAAACGCTGTTAAGTGAAATTTTTTAAAATAGTGTTTAAACTTCTAATTCATGATAATGAAAAAAAAATCATTTAAAACAATTATGTCATTTTATTTGGGAGGCAGATTCTCTGCAGTCCCAATTCCCGTGCCCTCCTGTTTGTGTGGTCACGATTAAGCCACGTCAATATTTTATATTACTATTTTTTTTATCTTATTATCTTTATAAAAAAAATAATATAAAATATTAACGTGACTTAACCATGACCACACAAAACAGAAGAGCACGGAAGGATACGAAAAGTGGAAAGGCAAAGAAGCTGCCTCCTTTTATCTGTGAGAATGAAATGGACAAAATTGTGTAAAAGTCACGCAGTCGTTGCAGTAGGTAGCCACTTGGCGAGACATCCTCGTGACTCGTGAGAGGCCCTCTCTCACCACTCTTTCAAGTTTCAACATCTGAATTTTTTACTTTTCTGTTTTCTTGGTTAATTGTCTTCCCCTGGACAAGTTTCCCAGGAATGTAAAACTTCTCCCGAGAAAATATCCATTGTTTCCATCGACGCCAAAACCAAACAACATCGAGAAAACTCCCTTTGGGTTTTGAACCTTGATCATGGGTGCTGACTCTCCATTATCAGGTAATTACTTTTCCCCTCATATATTATCTTCTAATTCTGATGTTTTGGTTATCAGCTGTGGATTTTAGTCATGGCATATGAAAGATTGATTGCACTGTGGCCTGGTTTTTCTATTTGTATGTTTTTCATGGGAGTCCTATCAATTTGTTGAGAATTTGTCAAAAGAATTTGAAGTGTCTTTGAAGATTAGAAAAATCCTTGTGATTAGGAATGCTAATCTTAAAATTAGTAGTTATGGGTAAGGAGAAAAGAGAAGAAGGCAGTAAATTTCACAAGAAAAATCTTGGTTTGGATAATCTTCATGTACAATTAAAAGGGACATGCATATTTGTAAAGCCAACAATATGGTTTGATGAAACATTTAATCATCTGTCAATATTCGAGCAAACTCTGAAACAGTATTTGTGTCGCCGGGACGCCCGAAGGGCCGGCCGTATATATCTCGGAGGAAAGCAAGAATGTGGATGGCTTGTATGTCAATGATCAAGTGAACCCCCACATGTAAAATGACTGATAGCGTTTGTGCTGAAATATTTTTGAAATCAATTTTTAGTAAAAATCTAAGTGGATCCTGAAATGTGCTTTTGGAACCTAAAATCAATTTACCAAAAGCGTTTTCAATAATTTAAAAGTACTTTCAAATGAGCCTTTACTTAGGGCCCCATTTGATAATTATTTCGTTTTTAGTTTTGTTTTCATTTTTTCCTTGGTAGAAATAGAGGGAATGTATATGGCGGAATGAGGAATAAAGAAGGGCGGAGGGGAGAAAGTAGAAAACAAAAACTAGAAACTTGAAAAGCTACTAAATATTATTTCCAGTTTTTAGTTTTCACTTTGTGTACTCTTCCATCTACATGTCTTCCACATCCTTCCCGCTGTCATTCCTCCACCTTCCTTTATCCGTCTTTCTTCTTTGTATTTCTCCTCTATTCCTAACAAAAACGAGAAAACTAAAAACGAAATGGTTACAGATTTTGTTTATATGATGCGTGTTCCCGTATGTAGTTATCTCTCTCCAAGAAAAGCTCTTGGACTTAAATTTTTGACAGACCTTCGTTTGTAGTCTTGTCTGTGCGTAGTAGGGAAATGCTCCTCAATGCTTCTTGTTTCTTGGTTGCAGAAACAAGATCAGTAGAAAATCAATTTGACCGTGAAGATGTAAACGAAACGCGTTCAAAGGAAGCGAAGGGAAAGAGACTCTGGAAGAAAGTTAAATATCAGCTTATTGAATACCATTCATTGCCTTATTTTTTAAGGGACAATGAGTTCATTTTGGGTCATTACCGATCGGAATGGTCATTGAAGCAGGTGTTTCTAAGCATCTTCTCCATTCATAATGAGACTCTTAATGTCTGGACGTAAGTACTCTAGTGCCTAATACTTATTACCGCAATACAATCCGGTTATTTTGTTTTTTGAAGCTGTGCCTCTCAAGTAAAGAACGTTGATTGCTGCTGAGAAATGCTTTTAAGACCATTGCTCTTAATAGTTATTCACATTTTTTGTAGGCATTTGATCGGGTTCTTCCTTTTCCTTTTCCTAACCATATACACAGCAACAAAAGCTCCAGACCTCATGGATCTGTCTTCCCTGCAACGTTTGTCTGACATGATTAGAAGAGCCGATTTGCACAGAATTCATCCAGAACTGTTGAATTGCCTCCCTTCGCTATCTTTGCCGTCTATGGATTTTCTCTCCTCAGTTTCAGGGAATATAAGGGAACTTCTCGCCAATTGCTTGCCTGACCGGTTCTCCCATGGCAATCAAACAGAGAATTCTGTTCTGGTATTGTCCTGCTCCTTGATTAAAAAATGCAACTCCAATGCAAAGATGCCTTTGAGTGCTTTTCAAATTCTATTTGACGTTTTTTTTATTCCCTTTACATGCATGAAATTTTTACCCAGCTACTGATGCACATAACTTTCTGATATAGTCTATAAAATCTGTTCTATATACCGACAGTAACATACTTTTTAATTGGAAGTCCTTTTGTTTCCCAGCCTTATGCCTTTGTTATTTGTTTAACAATTGCAGGATGGAGTAACGGATGACGTGATGAACATGGTGGCCCCCCTTATGTATCGGCCCATAACAAGGTGGCCCTTCTTTGTGTTCCTAGGTGGAGCCATGTTCTGCTTGCTAGCCAGCAGCACATGCCATCTCCTTAGTTGCCATTCAGCGCGCCTTTCCTACATAGTGCACAGATGTGACTATGCAGGCATCGCTGCACTCATCGTGACCTCATTTTACCCTCCTGTCTACTACTCCTTCATGTGCAACCCCTTCCTTTGCAACCTCTACTTAGGTTTCATCACAATACTAGGTATCACCACCATGGTTTTCTCCCTCCTCCCATTTTTCCAAGGAGCCAAGTTTCGTAGCCATCGTGCTTCTCTCTTCTTTGGGATGGGCGTGTCAGGTGTTGTGCCTTTAGTTCATAAGCTCATAGTGTTCAGGAATCAGCCAGAGGCCATCCAGACAACCGGCTATGAGGTGTTAATGGGGGTTCTTTATGGACTAGGGGCATTGATTTATGCTACAAGGATACCCGAGCGGTGGAGACCAGGGAAGTTTGATATTGCTGGGAACAGTCACCAACTTTTCCATATCTTGGTTGTGGCAGCAGCTTACACACACTACCGTGCCGGTCTACTGTACCTAAGATGGAGGGACTTGAAGGGTTGTTAGCTTGTATTGAGACTATAGGAGGACCAACATTGGATAATATTATACAGAGGGTATTTCTAGCCCTTCTGCGTTGGATTTGGATGTGTAGTTAACTTTTGCCTCTGGCCATCTGAAAATTTGTACATATTCCTTTTTACTTGATGAAAAACTTCCAGCAAATGTAATCATAAGTTTGGTAAAAGAAGAAATACCTTTCGTAAACCCGGCAATCATTTTCGAAGGGAAATGATTCGTGCACGCAACTTTGTAAGCGTTTCTGAATGGAAATAAGTAAGGGTGTGCAGAGAGGGGAAGTGGGTGTGCGGATATGACTTCCCTTTTCGATGTGTAGTCAAGTATTGTTTGGATATGTTGTTCGATTTTAAAGGGTTTCATTGATCTCTCTTTCAAATAGCCCTAAATTTTGATTGACCCCGTTGTAATGTTGAAATTTTTTTGCGATCTCAACCAAGTTCTTCGAATGGATTGCCCCTGGTGGTTACGGGGCTTTCCTCTCAAACTTAATGTGTTCTGGGTTTATTTTCTCCTCCCGCATGAATTTCGTGTAAATTATCTTATCGTTGTAAAAAAATATAACAAGTTCTTCGAAATGAAAACGAAAACGTGGCACCTTCTTAAACATTATTAACACTACTACTTCTGACAACAATAATTAAAGTAGGGATGGGCTAGATTCAGTTTGACACCAAATATATTACCAAACCAACTAGCATTTAATAGTTCAGTTTAGTTGTCCAACACCGCAATTGAAACCAAAACAAACCAAATCATTGTTAATCGGTTTGATTTGGTTGGTTCAAGCCTATTCTCCATACATCAATAAAAAAATGTCTAACATTTCAACAGTTTTAATTTTCTAAATAACTTTACACCTCACAAATTCCAATTCGATCAAAAGGTTTAATTTTTTTGGAACATAAATTTTCATCAAGTGAACTAGAACTAAGTTCAATTAAATAAAGTCTTGTATTAGCAATCCATTTATTAGTTACAATCAGACATAAGCCTTTAAGCACAAATAACCTTTCGCCTATAAGCCTAAAGTACACATAAGCTTAAATCTCCAAATTGTTAATAGTCTCTACAACTTTTAATATATTGTAAAATTGAGGGTATGTGTGCAGTGAAATTAATGAAACAAGACACAATATTTACGAGGTTCCTCTATAGTCAGTGTGACTGGAGTACGTCCTCGGGGCAGCAGTGGTGCTTTCATTCATTATTTGGAATAATAGGAGTACAAATATAACTCTCTATTCTCTCCTCAATTCTTCCATAATTTCCTCTCTTGTTGATGTATTCTCCTCCTTCCCCTCTTAATTATATTTTATAGGCAAAATCATTTACCTACTACACCCACTAATGCTTTGGTGTCTTCCACACTAACAAACAATGGACATCCATATTTACAACACTCTTGTAATGACCTGTCCCGGATTTTACGAATCAGAAGGGCAATTTTGTAATTTCACTTTGGTTGGGAGATAGTTTGGAATGGTTGCTTTTTGGATCTTGTTTGGTGTGCCATGTGGGGCCCACTTTCCTTTTTGGTCCCCCAGCCCACTCTTTCTTCTCCTCTCCTCCTCCCCGTGTCTCTCTCTGAAAACCATACAACTCTCAAACCCTTTTTTTTTTTAGGAAAACTAATGAAAAGGGCTTGAAAACTTTGAGTTTTAATGATAAGGACAAAATAAAGGGTAAAGTGAATAGTACCAGGATTGACTTTTTAGTGTAAAAATGTGGTTTTCGTTAAAGTGAACAGTACCTGGTGCTTTTCGTTAAAGTTCCCTTTTTTCTCTCTCTCTCTCTCTCCCTCGCTGCAACCTCTATCTCCCTTCGAGCTTGACTCGCACACACACAACCACATTGACGAAACTTCCCACCTAACCACCACCACCATCTGAACATTGTGACCTCAAAACTGCAGGCTAGAAGCAGTGTACCCTAACAATGATCGAGGCACTGTTCACAGTCTCCCTTGACGAGTTACGACAGATGGTAAGGTCCTAAACCCTTTTTCATCATCCTTCCCTCATCTTAGGTTGAAGACTAACTCCCTTGTACATGTTTTGGACATCGAAACTATGAAGAAACTACTCGAGGACACTTTCCCAGTTTTTCGGCAACCTGTGCCTTCCAGTCCATTTTTCGGCCAACTTATGCCATTGCACGGCTCCAAAATGGTACGAATCTCTTCTTCTCATCCTAAGCTTCATTTTGGCTTTTGAATAATTGCAAATGTAGAAATGAGCTCAAATGGAGCTCGGGTGTTGCCCAGTTTCCGGCCAAACCCACGACCTGAAACAGGGTCGACACGACCAGTTACCTTTAAACCAGGATCCAAAACCCAAGTTGTTACTAGGCTCAACTATCCAAACCGGACCATGTTACCCGGCCCAACCCAGGCCTTCGGCCCACTAAACCAAGCCCAGACCCAAACCCAGAACCTTTGGCCCAACCTAGACACTAAGCCCAGACCCAAAACCTAGATTCGACATGACCCGACCGGTTCCCAAGTTCCATATCAGCGCGTGGGCCCTGTCTTGGCCGACGCGTAGAGCATACGTGCCTTCGCATGAGGTATTGTGTTCCACCGCCGTCAACGACGGCGCCGGCGACTTTTTCAACCAGTTTTCCTGTGACTTAACTCAGCGCGTGGGAGTTCCCAAGGTCTCTTCTTAGGTTTTTCGACGTCCTGAATTCGTATAGGATGTCCGTTTTCCCAAATTAAATCGTTTTAGTATAGTTTTATTAATTGGTCCCTTTATGTGCTTAGGTGCATTTGTTTGTGGTGTTTCCGTCCTTGCACAGCTCCTCGATGACAGAGTATCTGTGGGTGGACCCTTTCCAAAATGCATGTTTTTACTATTAGAAATGCATACATGAAAAGCATGATTTTATGACTATGTTTTATGAAATGTTTATGAGTAAATCAGATATATGCTTTATCGAATTTATGTTTACTGAGATATCTATGAATATGGATTTATGATATGATTGCTTGAGCTATTAAGCTCTGATGAGATATATTTTGGAAATATTATGTTCATGATTTTCTGTACTTAGTAGTTATTCATACGATGTGCCTACGGGCGAATGATACTTATATATGGCTTCAGTTGGGAGATGTAGTGTCTACGAGCTGAAGATATTTATATATGGCTTCAGCCGAGAGATGTAGTGCCTACGGGCGAAAGATTTTTATATATGCCTTCGGCAGGGAGATGTAGTGCCTACGGGTGAGATATTTATTTATAGCTTCGGCCGGGAGATGTAGTGCCTACGGGCGGAAGATCTTTATATATGGCATTGGCGGGGAGATGTAGTGCCTACAGCCGGAAGATATTTATATATGGCTTCGGTAGGGAGATGTAGTGCCTACGGACGATTGTGATACCACTACTAAGCACACTATATGATATATGTTTTACGAAGGTTTTATCGCATGCCAGGGTTTTCGGAAAACCTATTACTTATTATGATATATGAGTTTTCTAAAATGGGGGTTTGTACGTTGATCAATAATTGTTTTAGTATTACTTATTTATAAACTTGGTCCATTCATATTTTGTTTTGCACCCCCTCAGGACTTTGAATCGAGGCGTACAATCTCGGCGTCAAGGCATTCCTGCATCAGTAGCTTCGAGTTCTCTCGGTGTATGACCCATTCCTTATATTATTCCTTCTTCAATATTCTGGTTTAGTTGTATGCTCCGAACACGTTCCACAATTGCATATTCATTACAGTTAAATTTTTGAGTTTTATTTATGTTCATTCTTTCTTCATAGTTCTCATGCATGTTAGTATGGCTTTATCACTTTCGGGTGTCGGCCAGCACGTGCCTACCCTGGTGTTTGGAGGATATCAGGGTCGAGCGTGTCAATTTGGTATCAGAGCATGGTTTGTTCAGAGCATACTTAGGATCTTCTGTTAATGTAGTAATGTGTCGGCCTTGACATCATTTGGATGTCATGGTTTCCTGATTTTGGTGCGTTTTGGCACAGTTGTGCAAACATTTTCTGTCTGAAATGTCACTTTATGTTCGAAGTACAAGAATTTATGTCGGGATTGTGCCTTACCAGTGACGAAATGGATTGATGGATGACTTTCATCAGTGGACTAATACTCTACGACATGCGTTCCTTAAGAATGGTAGGCAGAGTCGGATCTACATAAATGTGTTGGGAAATGAAAAATTTTAGTGGTATGAGGTTTGATCAAGACCAGTTAGAGATCTAATACGGTGATGTTACTTTGTGACATGCGTTCTTTAGGAATGGTGGGCAGAGTCATATCTATGGGGAAATTGCTCGAAACACCTGAAGTTCGTGTTGAAGAAAGCGAATAAGCGCTAGTTGTTTGCGAAGTTTAGCAAGTGTTAGTTTGGTTGGACCGAATCATTGTTCTCGAACTTGTTGTTGCCACTGAGGGAAATTAATGTGAACCCTCAGAAGATTTCTTGGTGATCTTCGTATCGTTGACCTTCTTGCTTACTCCAACAACAAGGTAAAGATCAATAAGCATCGACAGTCAGTTGTACACCAAATTCTTCAAACTTTGACTTTGTTTAGATTAAATACTTTTCTTGGAAGACTTTTTTATAGCAGAAGTTATTCTCATCAATTTCCAAAAGGGTTGCGATCGTAGAAATTGAAAATTCGTACAAGGTGTTGTGAAATACAAAATATCTTTGGTCTTGTCAATTTTTATCGGCAGTTCTTAACAATTCTTTGTGCTTAGCCTTATTCCTTTTGGCTAGGTAGCAAGTCAATCTTGTTGGAGATGTTGAAGGTGAATGAAGTTTCTAACAACTGAAGTATTGTCTCACTTGATCATTGTTCTTGTACTTTTCGATGACATTGATCAATTTCAAATTCTAAGGTGATGCGTTATCAAATGTTTAGCTACACACTGATGAAGCATGATCGTGTGACACGTGTGCCACTTGACGATTGGAACTGCATGAGGTGAACCATTCTATCTACAACCATGAGCCAACGGTTACTATTATACCCCACCCCTAAGATTATTGTAATTTCACATTTTCCCCTAAAGATTTATTGAAGTTACAAATTGGTCCCCTATCATCTACCCAATCAAAATCCTATTTCTAGATTCTCTCCCTTTTTTTACTTGCCACGTGGCAGCCCATTAACTCGCCATATCTCTCTCTCTCCTTCCCCCCCCCCCCGAGTCAACTC